CCTACTGTGGTCAACCTGTGAAAGGCTGCTGGGGCAGTGCTGGGGCCGTCAGAGATGTCACCGGATCATGACAGCTGTGGCCATGACGCTCCCCAGGTTTTGATGATTCCCAGGGCGCAGGCATTGCTGCCTTCAAAGCCACCAGCCTGAAGCCCTCTGGCCCTACGGACTTTGGCTTCCTACTAGGCACCAGGACTAAGAACTGGTCGGATGGGGACTGTGTTCTTTGCTGAACGCAAGTTTTCGAATTTCAGGCTAGGAGATACACAGAAGTCAGAAGGAAGATGAATGAACATGAACAGATTGATGATGGACATATGTGGCACAACTTGTGCGTGTTATGTATGTATAATTAAGGGGCTCCGCCCCCTGCCGCCGACCCCTGGGCTGAGCCTGCGATCAGCTTCTCCATGGCCCTGAAGGACACACACACACACACGCATATATAAAGATATATATATATATATATCTATATATACATATATATATATATATGTATGGTTATACACTGCAAAGTTAGGTGTGCGTTGATTATTACTGTATACATGGGTGCAATTCTGCTAAAGGGCTGACATGACAAAGCCAGAGTAGAAACTTGACGCAAGGGAAGGAAGAAGGAAGGAACAGCAAAAACATGATTCAGTGTTGAGAATTGTTTTTTACCCGAAGACCTGGTGACTCATCACCCCATGAAATCCCATGAACGGGGAAGTAAGGGACTTTGAATGGACCATGACTTTCCACACCCAAAACCAAAGGAAATCAAACCACCAAAGCGTTTTCACTCGGTGCTCACCGTTATAAGCGAACGTGGTCCGTTGTTTCCTGCCGAGTATATTTGTTTTCACTGCTTATGTCTTCAACATCAAGCAAAAATTGAAACAGTGGATCCCAAAGCAGTCATTAACCATACGCTGCTGCAGCGGGCTTTTCGCGCTTCAAAACGGATCTCAGAGCCTCAGTGTTTAACTTTGCAGAACACAATGCACTATTCTCTCCAAATGCAAATCACCGCAGCATACTCTGACTAGTGACTAGTGGTTTGAGGCGGTTGCAAGACATAGCCAAAAGGGGTAGACGGGTTTTTGTTTTTCTCTTGATTGAGCCGGATATCAAGCTGTGAAGGGCTACAACAATTTACTGCACACAACCGGAGACATTCGCCATGATGTCAATGGCGCATGATTGTCGCCCATGCACATGGTGGGTAAATGCCCAGCTGGAAGCATGGATGCTTCTTGGCCGAGTGGATGTGAACATCTCTTTGTTTTCTTCTCGCCTGTTCTTCCGACTTTTGTCGCTTGAAAAGGAAATCTAATGAAGGCCAGCGAAAGGTCTTTGGATTTTGAACCTTGGTGCATAAACGAGAATCGTTACTGCAACTTATTTCATATTATTTCCATTTTTTCCGATCAAGAAGGAACATGAAGGCCAAGCAAAGTTCACAGGTCTTCCTTACTTCATTTTGTACTGTCTCCAGTGAGGATAATCTTGATCAGTTTTCACAGCCAAGGTGTTTGTTCAGTGCGATGAAGCGATTCGGGTGATCCTTGACATTGCTTAATTTCCTCCTTATATGAATCCATGTGAGACTGGTTGGAAAGAATGGCATTGCTCAAAAGCTACGGTACCAAGTCATTGAATGGAACAAAAACTAAGTGGGAGCCTGGTTGCAAGAAAAGCAGGATTTCAAAGATCAGGACGCATGTGTGTGGACGTGCACATTTCTTAGAGATATCAAGACGTACTTGTTTGGGCAGGCGTAGCCCGCTGTATTGGAGGGGACGTGGGGCAAGTGCCAACGCGGCATGCTAGGATTGAGTTAATATACGTAGCACCAGTTTTCATGGTTCAGGTCAAGGTTGATGTTTCATATTATTGGCGGGTGGTCGGGTCAGCACTGCTCGAGGGTGTTAGGGTTATATTGCGTGTGTGTGTGTGTGCGTGGAGCATCTGAACAGATGTAAAACTTCGAAGCTTGCTGTTTGCAGGGGGCCAGGAACCCTGGATTGTCTGTCCTGGCCAACGAAGACTAGACAACATGGGGGTGCAAACGTACCTGCCAATTGTCGATTGTGCATAGCACCCGGCTAAGAGAACCGGACACCAGCACGAAATTTCCACTTATTTTTGCAATGAGTACGGCCCCGGTGCCAGTGCCTAACGTCACTTTCTGAACCGACTAGAAAACTAGCCTTTGAAGCCTGCAGCTGCCAGCTTTGGCGGCCGCTTCCGAAACAGGAAAACACCATGGCATGCCGGTCCCAACGGCGCTTCCGAGGCCCCGGTGCCAGTGCCTAACGTCACTTTCTGAACCGACTCGAAAACTAGCCTTTGAAGCCTGCAGCTGCCAGCTTTCGCGGCCGCTTCCGAAACGGGAAAACGCCATGGCATGCCGGTCCCAACGGCGCTTCCGAGGTCCCGGTGCCAGTGCCTAACGTCGCTTTCCGAGCCTGCTAGAAAACTAGCCTTTGAAGCCTGCAGCTGCCAGCTTTGGCGGCCGCTTCCGAAACAGGAAAACACCACGGCATGCCGGTCCCAACGGCGCTTCCGAGGCCCCGGTGCCACTGCCTAACGTCACTTTCTGAACCGACTAGAAAACTAGCCTTTGAAGCCTGCAGCTGCCAGCTTTGGCGGCCGCTTCCGAAACAGGAAAACACCATGGCATGCCGGTCCCAACGGCGCTTCCGAGGCCCCGGTGCCAGTGCCTAACGTCACTTTCTGAACCGACTCGAAATTAGCTCCAAGCTAGCCCAGAGAGCCAAACGTCACTTTCTGAACCGACTAGAAGTGAAGGACGGATCTTCTTCTTCTTCGTCTTCTTCGTTTTCTTGTTCTTCTTGTTGCTTCCTGGCTTCTTGTTTCTTGCTTCTTGCTTCTTGTTTCTTGTTTCTTGCTTCTTGCCCTTGCTGCTTGTAATGACTTCTTGCCACGGCCCCCAGTGTTTAACGTTGCATTCTGAACCTACAAGAAAACTAGCTGTCTTCCAGCCGCCAAGCTTCACAAATGGCACCTTCGCCACACCAAAACAGCAGGGCCCTGAGGGACGGACCGGGCCTGCGGGCCACGGCCCCCAGTGCCTAACGTCACTTTCTGAACTTACAAGAAAACTACAGCTGTCTGACCCAAAACGGCGCCTTCGCCACACCAAAACAGCAGGGCCCTGAGGGACGGACCGGGCCTGCGGGCCACGGCCCCCAGTGCCTAACGTCACTTTCTGAACTTACAAGAAAACTACAGCTGTCTGACCCAAAACGGCGCCTGCGCCACAGCCAAACAGCAAGGCGCTGAGGGACGGACCGGGCCTGCGGGCCACGGCCCCTTCCGAGGCCCCGGTGCCAGTGCCTAACGTCGCTTTCTGAGCCCGCTAGAAAACTAGCCTTTGAAGCCTGCAGTGCCAGCTTTGGCGGCCGTTTCAGAAAACAGGAAAACACCATGGGCATGCCGGGTCCCAATGCGCTTCCGAGGCCCGCGTGCCAGGGCCTAACGTCACCGAAACAGGAAAACACCATGGCATGCCGGTCCCAACTGCGCTTCCGAGGCCCCGGTGCCAGTGCCTAACGTCACTTTCTGAACCGACTAGAAAACTAGCCTTTGAAGCCTGCAGCTGCCAGCTTTGGCGGCCGCTTCCGAAACAGGAAAACACCATGGCATGCCGGTCCCAACGGCGCTTCCGAGGCCCCGGTGCCAGTGCCTAACGTCACTTTCTGAACCGAGTAGAAACTAGCCCTTTGAAGCCTGCAGCTGCCAGCTTTGGCGGCCGCTTCCGAAACAGGAAAACACCATGGCATGCCGGTCCCAACTGCGCTTCCGAGGCCCCGGTGCCAGTGCCTAACGTCACTTTCTGAACCGACTAGAAAACTAGCCTTTGAAGCCTGCAGCTGCCAGCTTTGGCGGCCGCTTCCGAAACAGGAAAACACCATGGCATGCCGGTCCCAACTGCGCTTCCGAGGCCCCGGTGCCAGTGCCTAACGTCACTTTCTGAACCGACTAGAAAACTAGCCTTTGAAGCCTGCAGCTGCCAGCTTTGGCGGCCGCTTCCGAAACAGGAAAACACCATGGCATGCCGGTCCCAATGGCGCTTCCGAGGCCCCGGTGCCAGTGCCTAACGTCACTTTCTGAACCGACTAGAAATTAGCTCCAAGCTAGCCCAGAGAGCCAAACGTCACTTTCTGAACCGACTAGAAGTGAAGGACGGATCTTCTTTTTCTTCGTCTTCTTCGTTTTCTTGTTCTTCTTGTGGCTTCTTTCTGAACCGACTAGAAAACTAGCCTTTGAAGCCTGCAGCTGCCAGCTTTGGCGGCCGCTTCCGAAACAGGAAAACACCATGGCATGCCGGTCCCAACGGCGCTTCCGAGGCCCCGGTGCCAGTGCCTAACGTCACTTTCTGAACCGACTCGAAAACTAGCCTTTGAAGCCTGCAGCTGCCAGCTTTCGCGGCCGCTTCCGAAACGGGAAAACGCCATGGCATGCCGGTCCCAACGGCGCTTCCGAGGCCCCGGTGCCAGTGCCTAACGTCACTTTCTGAACCGACTCGAAAACTAGCCTTTGAAGCCTGCAGCTGCCAGCTTTCGCGGCCGCTTCCGAAACGGGAAAACGCCATGGCATGCCGGTCCCAACGGCGCTTCCGAGGTCCCGGTGCCAGTGCCTAACGTCGCTTTCCGAGCCTGCTAGAAAACTAGCCTTTGAAGCCTGCAGCTGCCAGCTTTGGCGGCCGCTTCCGAAACAGGCAAACACCATGGTGCCGGTTTCTGAACCGACTAGAAAACTAGCCTTTGAAGCCTGCAGCTGCCAGCTTTGGCGGCCGCTTCCGAAACAGGAAAACACCATGGCATGCCGGTCCCAACGGCGCTTCCGAGGCCCCGGTGCCAGTGCCTAACGTCACTTTCTGAACCGACTAGAAATTAGCTCCAAGCTAGCCCAGAGAGCCAAACGTCACTTTCTGAACCGACTAGAAGTGAAGGACGGATCTTCTTCTTCTTCGTCTTCTTCGTTTTCTTGTTCTTCTTGTTGCTTCCTGGTTTCTTGTTTCTTGCTTCTTGCTTCTTGTTTCTTGTTTCTTGCTTCTTGCCCTTGCTGCTTGTAATGACTTCTTGCCACGGCCCCCAGTGCCTAACGTTGCTTTCTGAACCTGCAAGAAAACTAGCTGTCTTCCAGCCGCCAAGCCTCACAAACGGCACCTTCGCCACACCAAAACAGCAGGGCCCTGAGGGACGGACCGGGCCTGCGGGCCACGGCCCCCAGTGCCTAACGTCACTTTCTGAACTTACAAGAAAACTATAGCTGTCTCACCCAAAACGGCGCCTGCGCCACAGCCAAACAGCAAGGCGCTGAGGGACGGACCGGGCCTGCGGGCCACGGCCCCTTCCGAGGCCCCGGTGCCAGTGCCTAACGTCGCTTTCTGAGCCCGCTAGAAAACTAGCCTTTGAAGCCTGCAGCTGCCAGCTTTGGCGGCCGCTTCCGAAACAGGAAAACACCATGGCATGCCGGTCCCAACGGCGCTTCCGAGGCCCCGGTGCCAGTGCCTAACGTCACTTTCTGAACCGACTAGAAAACTAGCCTTTGAAGCCTGCAGCTGCCAGCTTTGGCGGCCGCTTCCGAAACAGGAAAACACCATGGCATGCCGGTCCCAACGGCGCTTCCGAGGCCCCGGTGCCAGTGCCTAACGTCACTTTCTGAACCGACTAGAAAACTAGCCTTTGAAGCCTGCAGCTGCCAGCCTTGGCGGCCGCTTCCGAAACAGGAAAACACCATGGCATGCCGGTCCCAACGGCGCTTCCGAGGCCCCGGTGCCAGTGCCTAACGTCACTTTCTGAACCGACTCGAAAACTAGCCTTTGAAGCTTGCAGCTGCCAGCTTTCGCGGCCGCTTCCGAAACGGGAAAACGCCATGGCATGCCGGTCCCAACGGCGCTTCCGAGGCCCCGGTGCCAGTGCCTAACGTCACTTTCTGAACCGACTAGAAACTAGCTCCAAGCAGCCAAACGTCACTTTCTGAACCGACTAGAAGTGAAGGACGGATCTTCTTCTTCTTCGTCTTCTTCGTTTTCTTGTTCTTCTTGTTGCTTCCTGGCTTCTTGTTTCTTGCTTCTTGCTTCTTGTTTCTTGTTTCTTGCTTCTTGCTTCTTGCCCTTGCTGCTTGTAACGACTTCTTGCCACGGCCCCCAGTGCCTAACGTTGCTTTCTGAACCTACAAGAAAACTAGCTGTCTTCCAGCCGCCAAGCCTCACAAACGGCACCTTCGCCACACCAAAACAGCAGGGCCCTGAGGGACGGACCGGGCCTGGGGGCCACGGCCCCCAGTGCCTAACGTCACTTTCTGAACTTACAAGAAAACTATAGCTGTCTGACCCAAAACGGCGCCTGCGCCACAGCCAAACAGCAAGGCGCTGAGGGACGGACCGGGCCTGCGGGCCACGGCCCCTTCCGAGGCCCCGGTGCCAGTGCCTAACGTCGCTTTCTGAGCCCGCTAGAAAACTAGCCTTTGAAGCCTGCAGCTGCCAGCTTTGGCGGCCGCTTCCGAAACAGGAAAACACCATGGCATGCCGGTCCCAACGGCGCTTCCGAGGCCCCGGTGCCAGTGCCTAACGTCACTTTCTGAACCGACTAGAAAACTAGCCTTTGAAGCCTGCAGCTGCCAGCTTTGGCGGCCGCTTCCGAAACAGGAAAACACCATGGCATGCCGGTCCCAACGGCGCTTCCGAGGCCCCGGTGCCAGTGCCTAACGTCACTTTCTGAACCGACTAGAAAACTAGCCTTTGAAGCCTGCAGCTGCCAGCTTTGGCGGCCGCTTCCGAAACAGGAAAACACCATGGCATGCCGGTCCCAACGGCGCTTCCGAGGCCCCGGTGCCAGTGCCTAACGTCACTTTCTGAACCGACTAGAAAACTAGCCTTTGAAGCCTGCAGCTGCCAGCTTTGGCGGCCGCTTCCGAAACAGGAAAACACCATGGCATGCCGGTCCCAACGGCGCTTCCGAGGCCCCGGTGCCAGTGCCTAACGTCACTTTCTGAACCGACTAGAAACTAGCTCCAAGCTAGCCCAGAGAGCCAAACGTCACTTTCTGAACCGACTAGAAGTGAAGGACGGATCTTCTTCTTCTTCGTCTTCTTCGTTTTCTTGTTCTTCTTGTTGCTTCCTGGCTTCTTGTTTCTTGCTTCTTGCTTTCTTGTTTCTTGCTTCTTGCTTCTTGCCCTTGCTGCTTGTAATGACTTCTTGGCCCTTGCTGCTGGTAATTCCTCCTCTGACGCGCTCCCCCTGCTGCAAGCGATTCGTTTGCGTGCGGGAAATTTTTCCGTGTCGCTGGCGGCAGTGTCACCGGCCGCATTCACAAACACGCATGCCCAACCTGCGGGGCAAGCGTTTATTCAGAAAAGGCCGACGGACGAATCCAAATCAAGCACAAAAACAGTGCCGGACGCACATGCCGCCGGGACAAGTGGACCGTGACGGCACCACTGCACAAATGACACGGCTAGCTTCCGACCCGCAGCCCCTACTGCCAAACGTTGCTTTCTGAACTGCCTAGAAACTAGCTACAAACTTGGACTTTACCCGCCCTTCTGCCCTGCCACCTGCCAGCTTGCTAGTGTCCTCTTGCAGCTGACTTTCGTCCTGCCCGACTGCGGTGAGAGGACCCTGTCGCAGCCAAACGTGGACTTTGCCCGCCCGTCGGCCAACTGCCAGCTTGCCCGTGTCCTCTCGAAGGACCGCACCAAAACACCATGACAGCGAAGGAGGGATCGGGCCCGCGGGCGGCGGCCCATGGTGCCAAACGTTGCTTTCTCAACTCCCTAGAAACTAGCTCCAAACTTGGACTTTGCCCGCCCTTCATCGGCCACCTGCCAGCTTGCCCGTGTTCTCTTCGAAACTTTGCCCGCCTCTTGGAGGACCGTGTCGCAGCACCAAAACACCATGGCAGCGAAGGACGGAACTTGGACTTTGCCCGCCCTTCATCGGCCACCTGCCAGCTTGCCCGTGCTCTCTTGGAGGACCGTGTCGCAGCACCAAAACACCATGGCAGCGAAGGACGGATCGGGCCTGCGGCCGGCAGCCCATGGTTCCAAACGTTGCTTTCTGAACTCCCTAGAAACTAGCTCCAAACTTGGACTTTTGCCCGCCCTTCATCGGCCACCTGCCAGCTTGCTTGTCTTCTCTTGGCGGACCCTGTCGCAGCACCAAAACACCATGGCAGCGAAGGACGGATCGGGCCCGCGGCCGGCAGCCCATCGTGCCAAACGTTGCTTTCTGAACTGCCTAGAAATAGAAACTAGCTTCAACCCTTGCTTTTTCCTGCCGTCAGCTCGGGTCCAAGGACCGTGCCGCAGGCCTCAAACACCATGGCAGTGAAGGACGGATCGGGCCCGCGGCCGGCAGCCCATCGTGCCAAACGTTGCTTTCTGAACTACCTAGAAACTAGCTTCAAACCTTGCTTTTTCTAGCTCCAAGCCTTGACTTTGCCTGCCCTGAGGACCGGGCCTGCGAATTTTCTCTTTTCGCCCCTTGCTGCTAGTAAGGCCTCCTCTGACGCGCTCCCCCTGCTGGCGGCAGGGGTCGGCGGATTATGTATATATAATTATATGTGTGGCAATGTGTGGCACCAATATGCCGCAAATCTCGTTCAGGCCAGCAGCAAGAGGCCCGCTCAACGCCACTGCCTGCTTCGCCACTGTCCAATTCCTCTGGCGTAGGCCTCCAGTGATGCGATTGAGCGCTGTCACGTTTGCCATATCCGTTTGCATCCGTTTTGTATCCGTCCATATCCATCCATACCCGAGAACCTGTGAATCCCATGAGATTCGGATGTGCTGTGCTGACTTGCTGTCCATGTGCGCCCATGGTATTGCATAGAAAGTCCACAATCGTCTCATGCAAAGGGGTTGCCGGGTCCCTGTTGCCTTGTTTGTACTGCACACATAGCTCCAAGTGCTCCAACGGATCTGTCAGCCTTGGTAGGCGGCTATGGCGATTCTGGAGGTGTTCTGAAGCGCTGTCGGTCGAAGGGAGATCAGGACCTGCTACACTGCATGTCATTGTTTCATATTGTTTCGGCAACTGCTGGCCCCTTCTAAATGCGGTATGGGTTGAGATATGCTTGGACTGTTTTAGATTGCCTTCTATCTGCTCGGCCTTGAACCCTCCAACCCATTTTGTTTATCGTTTTGTTATGTTTTGTTCATAATTATATAGTTAGTGATGTTTCCTGTAATTATTCCTGGGATTCTCATGGACTTTCGTCTTACTTTCCGACCATCCAGTTGTTCGATCGCAGGATATGTGGATCGAAACGAAGAGATTGGCAGTTGAAGGGCTTCAGCCTCCGGCCCCACCATTGCGACCACAAGAGGCAAGATATGGCAAAATGATGCAACAACGACAAGTATTCGCGATGTTTCCAGGTGCTGTTCGGTGCGGTGCAGGGAGAAGACCGAGGCAGCAATCTGAGACCTGGCAATGACAATTTGTATATAATGTTTGGGCATGTTTCGAAACGTTGTGTTCCTGATTTCAGCTCTAGTCAAGTTCAAATCCAACGCAGTCATATTTCATCATGTCTCCCTGTTTCACGATTTTCGCTTTGTGCTGCAAACCTATCCAGACCGAGCTTTTGAAGACCGAAGTATCTTCCAGAATGCCCTGAATTTCCAAGGATGGATCCTCCGCTCGTTCGAACTGATCCTTTTCATTGGTTGCGTGATGACATGCATGAGAACGACATGCCCTCAGAAAGGTGTACAGAAAGTTGGCACAGGTGTTTTTAGATGAGCAGCGCCGCTGAGCCACTGCAGTGGTTTGGACACAGCTCAGGAAGAAATTCGGCAACTTTTGGAAGACGAGGATTTGTACTGCTGCAGGGCATTGGCGAGTCTTCAGGAACTCAGTGATGAATTGCACAGAGAGATGCGCAGCAGCCGGGCAGAAATTATAGCTCTTGCTGACACCTCGTCGGTGGGGTTTTATGCTGTTTTAAGTTTTAATGCTTGTTATTTCTTCCTTTGTGTCCTTTTGCATCCTTATAACAATACACACAGCGCAAGTGTGCACACTGGTGTTATTCTTGGCTGTTCACAGCTTGGATAGCTTAGACAGTGCTTGTGTAATCTTGTGTCACAATGGAGAAGCCTGAGCTACATTGAGCTACTCTGCGTTGGACATGCAACAAAACAAGGTCATGAGAAAGAGTCTTCGGTTGGAATCCCATCTATATATCCTGGTGGCTACGCATATTATAGCAGAGGCGGAGATTGCAAGCAGATGGTCAAACATTCTCAACGACTTTTCTGTAGCCACATTTGACTGTGAAAAGCTTTTGTCTCTTGTCCCCAGGGAGCAAGAAGAAAGCCTATGAGAGTCACTTCCGTGCACGGATCCAAAGAGATGGAAATCCAGTGCCCTCAGACGTGGCAGTGCCAAGGCTAAACAATTAAGAGCCCTTTGATTCAAGAGTCAAGATCACAATGCCAATGATGTATGCATGTACAGTATGTATTTAAATAAATAAACATTATCATAATTTATTACATGTATACTGTGTATATATATATATATTATGTAGCGGATTTGTTGTGAGGATGTTCTCTGCTTGCTAAGGCTCTTGCTCAAGCCATTGATTTGCAGCTGGTAGATGAGGAGTGGCGCTGGCACAAGCCGGCACAAGATAAAATTTGGCTTTGTTCGGCAGTTGAAGACTTGAAGCACATTTACCCTTGACTTTCAGGAGCTTCTGTTAGATGAGAATGAATTGAATGATGATGGGGAGGGTGGATCTCGCCCATACCTGTCGCATGCTTACAACATCTTGCAGAATCTTACAACATCTCATAACTATTTGTGCAGCGCTTCGGGATGGTGTTTTGCCAGACTGAAGTATACTGAAGTCATTTCAATAAGATGTGCAGAGCTGAGAGTTCAGTGCTCCGTGGCATAAGGTCAACATGCGGCCCAGATCCAAGTGCTGATCATGTTCTGTTCGCATATGCGAAGGACTTTGAGGGTAACGACAGCTATAGGATAAGTTGTCAGCTCAGATTTTGGAAGCCTTGAGCCAGAGAGATGAAAGCAAAAGTAAAAGATATATAAATCGAAACAAAGCTGCGGCTGGTCCTGCTTCTATCATTTGACCCTGCCACCCTGTCCAGGTTTTCATGACACTCGTCAAAATGCTGAGTTGAAGGAGGACAATGTTGAACTTGAAGAGACCGATGGCTCTATTCTGTGGGAGAATTCGGGCCATGCCGCGATCTACTACGTGGGACATGACCACGAGTTCAGAGGATACATCGCACTCTAGCAGCAAGCAGCACAAGGGCTCCGGCGCTGACTGAAACACAACGTGCAAGGACCCAGTACCTCACACCTGAATGGTCTGGAGAGGTCAATTCCAGTATATATATATATATATAGTCCAGTGCCATATGCACCCTTTGACGTGCACCTTCCTTTGGCATGTGACATGTGTAATCATATGTATACTTATTCATCTTATTCTACGTCTCGCCTTTAGCTTCTCTTAACTCCCGCAGATGGCGAGAGAGAGAGAGAGAGGGAGGAGACAAAACATGCTCTCCAAGGTTCGCAAGCATGTGGTTGGCACCCCGCAATCTTCCGACACCGTGGTTCTGGAAGAAAAGGACCGCCGGTTCTCTGTATCTATTTGCAAGTCCAGCGACGAGCGCTTCTTGATCATCCAGACGCTTGGCGAAAGACTAGTTTCCATCGGCCATTTGTACAGAAAGCTTGGTTGGGATCGCTCAATAGAATGCGCTTGTATGCGTTTGTCACAATAGAAATCGCAACAAAACAGCATTGGAATTCTTCGGCCATTTGCCATTTGTGGTTCACCAATATTGGATGCTTTGCAATTCTGGAGATAACACAATAAAGATCAGAAAAGGAAATGCCATGCGACACTGCTGTCCTGCCCAACTGAAGGTCCGCTTCCAGCGAGACAGCTGAAAATTACCTGCTTGACTTAGACACTGACTCCAAGCAGTCCAAGCTGATATCTGTTTGTGCACGAGAATTTGGTATTCACTATGATGTTGATCACTGCATGGGCACCTGGGCTCATTTCTGAGTTTAAAGACATGAAGAGACCCAATTTAGTGCACCCCAATTTCAATGGGTGCCACATCACCATGCAAGGTTTCTTGTACATTTTGACGGACAAGGATGGTACAAAGCCCCCTGGCTGCTGCAGAGTGCTACCCAAGCACTGCTCTTCGATGCATTTCACATGTGTCCGAGTTTATACCATAAAAACCATTAAAAAGCTACAAAAACTGGAACCGTTGACGACGAACCGGATTGCTGTGCCATTCACTACTCTGTGTCAGATTCTTGTCACAGCAGAGGCCGATTCCAAGTTGCACTAATCACGTCGCACTCAGGAATTCAAAGCTGTGTCGCACACCACTGGCATCCATCCCGAGCCAAAGTATGCACTGGGAGGACCTTTGGGTGCCTGAGGAGCATGCCATGGCCCCAGACGGCCCCAGACGGCCCCAGACGGCCCCAGACGGCCCCAGACGGCCCCAGCATCCAGAGAACAACAACAGGTTCCAAAAAAGACAGGTCATGCTGTGTTTGATCATTGACAGGTTGGACAGGTTAGGTTGGATATAGATGACATGGACCTAATGTATTGCTTTTGTATGCTTTAGTATTCATGTTGGATGCTTTGTGGTCGCGCCCAACCTGCGCACAAACTGCACGGGCTGCCAATTGCCGCTCAGATTCATTTGGATTCCTTGCAGTGCTTCGAGCACTTTTTGGCCATCACTGGGCGCCGAAATGGTGCCAGTTGTTCCCTTGACTGCACTGGAGGGGGAGATGTGCAGAGATGTGCAGAGATGTGCAGATAGAATCTGAGAAGAGTATCAAAAGTTATCAAAATGATATGAAAAGAACAGCAGGCTGCGCGACCCTGGCTTCGCCAGAAGTTGGCTGTAGGTATTTATGTAATGCTTTTGCCGAATGGCGGCGGGAAGGGGCCAATTCATTCCCTTATTTTTCCCGAAGCTTGGCTGCTTTAGTGGAAACCAATGGAAAAGACGCAAGGTGACAGCTACCGTGGTATTGTGCCTTCGCATACAAGTCATACAAATCTTCAATTGTCAATGTAATCATTGCTTGCTCTCGCTCGAGCTGCCAAGAGGAAATGTTAGCCAGCAGTGGCTTCATCACTACGCCTCGCACTCAAGCAGCGGCTCAGACGCTCTTTTCAGTCAGCCTTGCTGGCAACGACCTCTTCAAGACAGACATTTTGAGAGTGCACTACACCTCGTGCCTGGATGCAATGCAGTTGGGTTTGGAAAGTGCGGCATTTCATACTGAAATTGAAGCGGGCAAAACCTTCCATTGTGAGTGATTCACAACATGGCAAGCGCAAGAATCTAAAAGCTTTGTGGGGACAAGGTACATCGTTCCGGGCAGAGACTATGCATACCATGTTCCCACCAGAGAACCTGGAAGCATTTGGATCTGGGCCTTTCTACCCATTTCTTGCATCCATATGGTTGAAGGCCACAGGAGCATTCTGAGCTGCTGGGTACGTATCCAAAAGGGAGGCCTTGTGATGGCTTTGTGCATGCTGTGACTGCAATTTGCCGTGGTAGTTTCGACCACCAAGGAGTTCAAGCTGATCAAGGCAGGGTCAAGAATGGTCGAGAAAATTCCCTAGCACCGTTGCGGTATGCCAAGTCAGAATTTCTGAAGGAGTCGGGACCAGAACGCTACAATCCCTCTTTATATCGCGCCGAGCGGATCACGTCCAAGGAGCGCCAGGCGGAATGAAGCTGCGGTAGTTTCGAATGACATCGGGCCGAGTCAACCAGTTACAGGGGAAGTTCATTTCATTGCGGATAGACTGGAAATTACTAACATAATATATAGAGTGTATAGTGTATAGTATATATTACATGCGAGTCTCCGTGAACTGTGCAGGTTCCAATTTCCTTGGTCTACCGAGCAGATTTGCATCCTCAAGGATTGAAGGGAGGACCTTTTCCAACACTCCTTACTGGTTGCCAGGCTGCAAAGGAACCTCAGAAACTACTTGTATCAAGAATAGGTATGAATAGGTGCTATTGGGTTAGCGACGTGGTTTGAACATGTTTGAGACATGGACAAGTGTGGGCTGCATTTTGGGATGAGCTGGTGGTTATGTTTCAAAGATCTTCAAAGTGAAATACTAAATGACTAAAGTCATTGTGATTCTTTGTGGTGTTGGAACTGTTGACAGTTGACGGGGACCGGTTCCTCACAGGCTATGGCGCGTATGGGGCATGCCAAGATCCTGGTCGCTTTGGCAAAAAGCGAAAGCTGTTGCAACTTGTTGTGAGATTTTGAGCAGTGCATAGCAGCTAATAGCAGTGCAGTTTCTGGTGCGATCAGCAGTTCTGTTCACCATTTGTCACATTTAGTCACCCAGGTTTCGACTCTAACATTCTTTGTTTGCTGGACCGTGGCGTCATGGCCTGAGCGCAGATGTTTCATGCAGACAGGCAGACTGCATCAGACTGCGACCAAACTCCCAAATTCAGGTCATATATGCGGTTGCACACGTCAGGGGAGGGGGTGAGCTCGGCCGTGATTGGCTGGCATCTCAGCGTCTCAGGGCCTTGGTGCTGGTGCTGCTTGTGAGCCGCAAGTTAGTTTGAAGCTGAGGCGTGAAGAGGGCCGCTACTTGAAGGTGAAGAACCGTTTCCACGACTTCATTGCGGCAGCACTGTGCTCAGCAAGCTGCCACTTTCCAGGAAGATCCTGCAGTTAGCTCTCAATGCTTAATTCAATGCGTTTGTGCGTGTATGCTTTCTAGACCTGACGCTGCTTCCATAGGCAGATAACACTAGATAATCAGTGTGTCATCTTGTGATATCTTGTGAATTGAGGCCGAGACCTTGATCTCTATGGGAATTTCTGAGCGATCAACTCTTGCTGCTTGGGGCGAGAGCAGCGGCGGGTTGCTGGTGACAGCCTCCGTCAACATGCGGCCGGATTTGTTCAAGGTGACGCTGCTGAAGTGCTGTTGGTCAAGAGTCATAAGCAGCTCGAGTATTGCATAGTATTGCCATGTATTGACAGGACAGATTTCATGTGTTCACGTCTCATTGTAAAATATTGCAAAGGCAATTCTATTGTACGTGCCTTTCGTGGATGCCGTCAACACGATGAGCGACCCATCGAAGCTCGGAATGCTTCATGGTGTTGCTGGTGCTTTGAGATTTTGACATGAGCACCCAAGCTGGCAGATGCAAAGATGTTTTGAATACGGCAAGCATAAAGTTGGCATCTGCAAGTTGGCACGCATGGATTTATGATGATTTTGTTTAATTTGTTTTGCTGTTCCCTATCAAGGATTCCCTTGACATGTGGCGAGTGGGAGGAGATAGGGAATCCGAACCAGCGGGAGACCTTCTACTACATGTTGGAGACTCTAAGCTACAAGTGCTTAAGGTGTTGCGGCTTATCCAGATAGAGTGATTTGGTGTCATTTGGTGGTATTGATATATATATATATATGTGTTGATGCCTTAAGTGGTCACCTTGAAAATCTTGCAATCAAAGACCTGACCTTGCTTGTTTCCTGACCTCTTGCAGAGACAGCGCACGTCTTTTCGACCTGAATTTTACACTCTACAAAGGTATAGCCCGTATGACAACCTTCGAATGCAAGATTATCCTGCCGAAGCTTGGCGACATTTGGAAAGCATGTTGAAAGCATGTTGGCAGGGATCCATCTGATCCTTTCATCTGTCACCATTTGTCACCACCATCATTGAATCATATTGAATCATTGTGTCCGTGTCTCCTAGGCCTTGGTGACTGCGTCGCAGAACGACACGATGGTGGGCTACTGGGAGCCGCTGAAATATGTGTCCAAACTCAGACGCGTCAAGACGGAAGCTGGCTCGCAGAGGATCGTGCAGCGCAGATTTGTTGTCAAACAAAAATGTTAGAAGATTGGACAAGAACTGCTAGATGCACAACATAATCAATAAATATCAATAATAATTATGTTAACATGCACGGTGTAGTATACCTCATACATCATACAATCAATATCAATCAGTTGCAATTATGCACATGTACGGAAGATGCTTCTTGCAGCTGAGGATTCCAATCCAGTCTTGCTGAAGGCGACGGAGGGTGGTTACATGTTGTTTCGCCTGCCCCACTGCCACTGAGCACTAATTATTATAACATATTATAACATGTCATCATATGTATTCTCCAAACCTGGAAGTGCATGCATGAATGGTGGTCCACCCTGAGCTTTTGGGATGTTTCCTGGGATGTTTTATGGGATCAGTCTCAGGAATCAAAGCATGTTTCCTCTAAGGGTGAGGCATCATGCTTCCAGCAGTGGTAGGCTGCATGATTTCCATTGATTTCCACTGGCCCCACTTTCTCCAGTCTCTTCATTTTTTCGATGCGAATACGATCTTTGAATATCTTTGACATGATTTGACACAATCTCGATCCATGTTGGGTGGCTGGCTTTGGAGCAGGTGGATTTTCATGCTGGCCATGGCGGCGCATCGGACAAATCCAAGTCTATGCGGGAACAGGCTGAAGATAGCTCGCGTAATCTAAAGTAATTGCTCAAGTCCGTGGGTGAAAAGCATTCGAACACATGTGATGCCAGTGGATTGTCTCCGCAATTGACGGTGACATTATGTGTATATATATAGAATATATAGATAATTATGTTATAATGATTTTATGATATTTTATGATATTTTATGATATTTTATGATATTTGACGCATCCTTCTGAGACATCAAAATGAACTAGGACTCACTTTGCATGGCCCTGTGACTGATTTGAGAGGCCCAGCATTTCGCCTTCTTGCTGGATCAGCTCGGACTTTGCGATGGCTAAAAAGAAGACCTGTGTAGAACAAGCATGTACCAACTTGATCCAACTTGTATCTAACACATTCTTGGCCTTCTTAATCATTTGTTGTTTTTTTTGCTACCGGCAAGTTGGGCTTCACTCAGGTTATCCTTGGGCTGATTCCTTTCAGCAGAGACGGGTGTGCCCAGAATGGATTTATGACTTGCATTTTCACGTGCTTGAGATCCCAGCTGTTTCTCAATCGGCTCGTCTCCTTTGTTTCTGTTGAATCCTGTGGCAGGTTCCCTGTGGCTGCAGCTGCACTCCGCCCAAGCGGTGGCATCTTGCATGTGCCTCCTCGTGGGGATAGTTACAGTAACCAATTTCATCCATGAGTTTGAAATTAAATAGTCTCGGGTAAAAGGTACATTGGAACGCAGCTGTGGATGCAGAAACCGTGTGCTCCTGAGCATCAGAATCTTCCGTTTGCCGTAGACCTTTGACACCTTCAAGAGAGCTGCAGGAAACCGCTGAAAAGGTTGCCATGGAGGTGCTTTGCTTCGCTGTGTATACGGTCTGCATCTGCAGCGCATGTCTCATCATCGATCCCAACAAGGGTCCAAACATCGTCACTGACGCATCTTGAATCGCTTGGATGATCATGCTATGTCCATCCGTGAACTATTGATATGATGGAGCAAGGCTTCTCAAACCGTAAAGCCTTGTGGTGGTTCATGGCCGACCAGATTCAGTAAGAGGGGTTCTTTTGCACGTTTGTCCAGGCACGTTGGGTGGTTTGGAAGTATGGCCTTTATAATGGACCTAATATATCCAAATGTTGCATGCCTGATATGCCTGTATTTGGACTACTGCATTGCAGCCAAGCAACTTTGCATCATGGCAGATTGAGCAAGTCCTGAAAGAAACCAGAGGACGCTCCGAGCAGATGCGAAGCTGTATTCGGTTGGGGAACGTGCAATTGGAACTGGTACAATTTCCCAAGGGTTTGCATTGCCATGGCTGGATCCTTATCACATCTCATGGCAAGGCTGAAGGCCAGGGCACAGACCACCTGCAGCAATTACGTGAGAGAAAATTTCCTTGAATTTCCAATTCAGGAGGTGACTGGAAGGCTAATGCGCGAACCTCAGCACTAGGAAATTGCTTCAAAATTGGTGAAAGAAGATGTGAAGAATCAAAAGGAGAGAAGACTGTTCTCTGAACGACTCTGAACTTGGGCCAGGTCACTGCTGCTCAACGTGTGAAGAACTTCGCCCCTAGGGTCATCCTGGCAAGTTTCACTGCACACCTGGAATTTGATGATTGGAGCCTGTTGACAATTGCATTAGGTGGTATGGTGGGATTGAAGATTTGTGAATAAAAGTGGTTCGGAATATTTAAACAGATTTTGAAAGATTTGAAAGTCTTGTTCGCTCATGTTCGCACGATGAACTCTTGTCGAAGGTGCGGCACCTGCGCATTGACATAAGCTGTCATTCAGGTGCCGAAAAGAACACGAAGCCAAGCTTGTCTTAAATCCAACCAGTAATGTTGAAAAAGCATGAAGGATCGTGCAGAAGTAGTGAATTCAAGAGGTCAACAGGCACGGGATGTCTATGTCCTGGGTTGAGCAATGATGTAGCGAATATATGCGAATATCATAGTATATTAATTCTATATATTATATAATATATATATATATATTGGGTTTGAACATGTTATGTATGCTTGATCAGCTCGAGCTTTCTAAGCAACTATCAAAATATGACTCTGCCTCTACTTACCTATGCAGTAAGACTTGAAAATTCCACGTTTTTCGGATGATATCAAAAAGTGTCGATTGGTATATGCAGCTTTTGCAGTTTGCCGTTCAATTCGTATTATGTAGATGGCACATTAATCATGTCTTAATGTATAGTAGTCCAAAAGATGGAGTGATTTCACATGATTTCACACTAATTAATTACAACCCATGATTCTGTAACTAATGACATCCACGGGAGGAGCATGTTGTGGCTTTCCCTGTTTTGTTGCAAGCAGTGCAGTGCAGACAGAGCAGAGAACCGTAGAATTGTCGCCGTATCACACCTGACCGCGGTTTGGTTCAGCTGTAGGAAGGTCAAAAGCCATGTAATGACAGCTGCCATGGATATTGAACCTTTCATGCCAGGTGAGGTCTTCCTTTGCCAAATGTCGGAAAAATCTGGAAGAAATGAGAAAAATAATACGCGTTTTCCATCATTTTCCAGTAGGTTTGCATTCCTCATTAATTGAAATTCTTGGTGTTGCGCCCACCCCGAAACCTGGGAAGTGGAAAGACTCTGCAAATCGCAGCAACCTTAGGTCCTGCCCATTAGTCTCATTAGTCTCCAAACTGCACATACGCCGCCTTTGGTCCAGCAAGTCAGCACGCTCTTGCCCAGGTTGGCATGGGGAATGTCCCCATCACTACTTGCAACAAGGTCCCTGCAATTTGAGGATGAACTTTGTTGAACAGAGAAGTACTGCAGACATCTCCTTTTGTTGTAGGTGCTGGGTTGCGAGTTCGGCCCTGAGCAACATGTTTTGCCAATGCCATTGCAGAAACGGTTTCTGTGTCAACCTTGCTTGGAAAGCGTTATGTATCAAAATATGTCAGACTTTATCAAAATGTGATCTTGATTCTAGATTTGTTGCAGTGTTTTCTTTTGCTTTGATTTGTTCTTCGCATTCCACCGCTGACGAAGTGAGAGGTTCTGTAGACTCTTTGATACTCTTTGTATTTTTATGTTTTTTAAATGTATGGCTCCAAATCGATATTTATTGCACTGGCCCCGACGGTCCGTGTCATTCCGTGTCTCTGAAAAGACTTTAAAAGTTGGCAAGAAGAAGACTGAATTGGATTGCTCATGAGATTTCATGAGGGCTTGTTGCAATACTCGAATTCTCTGGAAACACGATGCCAGTTTCGGTGGCGTCAGCGAAGTCTTCTGCCATGCCAGTCGCAGCTTTGTCCTAAGTCAATGTGACATTTCCATGGCTATGCGGCTATGGAATGATATTATGGAGCCATATGGACCATTATGGACCTACACCGAGGCATTCGTTACAATGAGGCAAGCTTGGTTCTGATGGGACATTCTGATTGGACCATATTGGACCTAAGTGAGCACGTTTGGCAACTCCCAGATTGCCACCAGGAGGATGTGCAGTTGGCACTCCGCGTTGTATATGCCCCGATGGAGGACTGGTTGGATCTGGCAGTATCTATGGGACCCAACTTGTCACACTGGTGAAAAGGATGCATCAGCAGAGTTTCTAAAAATGGGCCTTTGCCTCAGCATTGTTCATGGCATCCATGCTCGAACTCAGCAAACGCTCTGGCACTCAGGTCAGGAGGTTTTGATTGCTGGCATCAAGAAGGCATGCATGTGCGTATATCATCGTATATCATCGTATCGTATACCATCGTATACCATCGTATACCCATTAGCCATCATTCACTGAGTACCAGGATGTACCAGGGGCGTTTCAGCCGTAGTTTAGCACTGACAGCGAGCGCCACTGAATTGGAGGTGCAAGGATGGGACCCTTTGACTTGGCGACAGGCTTCGGACATCGGACATCGGACTGTTTGGAATTCTTTTGACGATGCAGCGACGCTTTCAATTTACACTTGGGGTTTTGAGGAACGCGTTGCCCGGCAGCAAGTCACCGGGCAGACTTCACAGCTGTGGCCATCCCTTTCGGAGTCGCGTTTTGGGAGGCAACAGAAACAAAGTGTGAACTGTCAGTTGCATCTTCTGTGTCAGCTACACATACACACATCTAACTTACATTAATTTACTATAATCTACTATACACACATACATCACATACATCTACTATTTACTACTGCTCTTTCATTTTTTTGGTCCAAGTTCACGGAATCAACGCATCTCTTGGCAATGTTTCGAGGGTATGATGTGAGAGGATGTCAGCCAAGTCACCTTGGCCTGCAGGGCTCATCGCGCTTGGTCGGTTGAAATATTGGCATCGGACGGCCGTGGTGGTGTTCGCAACCTGCCCGGATTGCTTCAGGCTACGCTGCGATTTCTTCCTGGTTATATAGATAGTCTTGAAGCTGAAGTATCCAATTTGAACTTGGAGCTGTGAAAGCCGTTGTGTTCTTCGCAAATTGCAGGTGGCTCATGCCCGGAAAGACCGTGAACTTGATAAGGCGAGTGCTTGTGGCGTTGCCCTGTTGCATTCAGCACCCCCCGCTCCCAGCACGCTCCCAGCTTGCGCAGGTTAAGGGCGCAGTGCAAGAAATCAGCACTGTGGCCAACTATGCGCGGCGATTCAACCATCACGTTGCCCCTAGCTTGCACTTATACATTATTAAAGTGCATTGTCATTTGTCATGATGCCCCCCAGACATCTCCAAATGACGAGCCTAAGAAATGATTCCTCATCCATTGGTGAGGCAGAATTGGCTGGTGAAGATCCGGATGTTCCAGCGATCCGAGTGGCCACAACCGTTGCATGCTTTGTTGCTTGTCCCCAGTTGCAGTATACATCCCCGTTTAATACTGTGTGTACTATTTGGAGTTGTGATTGATGCCAGGATGGGAAGAAATCACAATTTACCTGTTTCTACAAGTTTCCTTTTACACACAGTCTTGCACGCTTTATTCAAGATGCAAGTTGTACTTTGATGGTTTTGTTGTTCTTGCTGCTTTTGTGGTTTGCGGAGACATTGGCTTCATCTCATTGGAAGAGTCTTTATGCCGAGCATTGTGTGACCACACTTGACAAATCTCAACCAGGAACATCCCTACAGCTATGTCAAACCTTGTTTGACCATGTATGACCCTAAACTGGCATATTTTATCCATCCAGCAAGTCATAGTAACAGTAATTCGATTCAGGTTCTTGACGGCGTCAATCCTGAGATCGCTGATGCCGGCGATACTCTTCTATTGATCCTTGTGCTGGATTTGGAGATGATTTTTGTATATTTAGTTTTCTCCAGCTGGTAACATTGTAACATGCTGGACCACTCTGTAACTTCAGCCACTTGCCTAAGGACCCTTTTTGATGCCAAGAATCTTACAAAGTTTGTCTTCGAAGGCCAGATCTGTGGTTCGGATTCATCATATTCATCGCAAGCCGCACCTGCCTGGTTGATCAGGTGCAGAGGACTTCCTGGAACTGCCTCAAGCCTTCTTCCACTTCGTGCTCTGGAGTTCAGGTGGTAAGGCAGCCATCAACCATCGGTGATTTGGATGGCACTCACAGTTCCATCCAAAATGTGGGGAGGGTGTGGCCAGATTGGGGCATCCTTCATGTCCAGGAACTTGTGGCCGACCTTCAGGGAATACAACAAGAGCCGCTCGGCCAGCAGCCTTTTGGCAGATGCCATTGATCCTTCAAGAATCATTGATAGAATCATGAATACATACAAAACATACACGCACACTATATATATAAATAATTATATATACAATGATATGCATATGTGTATGTAAACACATTTGTATATATATATATATATATTGTGTATATAAAGTTATATATATAATTATATACATATGTCCAAATCACAACATCATGATCCCGCAGACTTTCAGTTTAGGACCATGGAATTCTGAGGCGGGATTTGCTGCTTGTTGATCCTGCGAGGGCCTCAATTAATGGATCTTAGTCCTGGCTTCTCAAAGCGTTTGATGCCTTTGCGGCCTTGGGTTTTTACTGGGAAGCGCTGCATGGAATCACATGGAACTGTATGCGATCAATGAAATGTGATGTTGGCATTTGGCAGGATCATGTTTGAATCATGTTTGAATCACCTGTAGATCGATTGATTCGCTTGCTGCATGGGGCCATGTCATCTCGGGTCATTGTTGGCACCGATGGATGTGCAACAGGTCCTCCTCACCACTGGCGATTTAGATATTTCAGAGCTGCTAAGCCTGGCAACGTCAGCGGCCCAAAATCGCCATTTCCGAAATGACTCGACTATGCCGATTTGAGCAGATTTGCATTATGATTCATTATAGATTCTCATAGATTCTCTATATTTTGTTACATTGATATTTAGAATGTGCATATGTTAAGCGGTACCTATGCTATCCTATACGTATATGTGCGACGAAAAGCCATTGCTGCTTGATTCGCAAAATTCGATCTGAGGAGTACTGGTACGGGCTCAGACTTCCAGACCTGCAACCGCAAGAGGCCTTTGTTTCATTAGCTGGACAGATTGGACAGTGCACCGGACTGAAACATAGCAGTCAGTCATGCCATGTCATGCCCAACCCCCTGGCAGCCCTGGCAGGTTCAACTTGTGGCATCCGCGTTGCGCTCAGTCCTGCTCTTAGCGGGACCAGTGATTCATGTTTATCTCATTTTGCAATAGGGTACTGCTTGAAAGGAGAAATCCGGTGACATAAGAGAGATCTTGGGTCTTATGGGGTCATTCGGTCATTCAAACAAGGGCCATCCTCGGCTGGTGATGGCTGGTGACGGCTACTGAGATTGTGCCAAAGCTTCGATCCTCAACGGCGAGGAGGAAACACCAGGCCATGGGATGCCCAGCCGTCGGCCACACCATCTTCCAGCCACGTTTTCTGACAGGAGAGCCTGTGGAGTCCGTTTTGCCGGCATGTCTTCCCATTTCATGTTGTGTGACGGAATGTAATGTATTTATGGAGTATTATATGGTTATATTAATAACGGTTATATTATGTTATATTATATAATTGTAGTGAAATGTCATGTCATCTATATTGTATCAAGTTGGGTACTTACTCCGGCTCTAGAAGTTGAATGTTCTGGAGGTCTAATTGTGGACCATTATTGCTTGCAAGTGGTTGGGCTTGGTGGATTTGCTCGGTTGGGATACACGCTAGGCATGGCTGCGCAATACGTAGAATTGTTCATGGAAATGAGGTCAAACATGGTCAAACGCACATGGACAGTTCTACTGTTCTACTGCATGCCAAGTCCTGACCAAACTGCCAGCTTTGCCTAATTGTGGAGTGGGCGGTGGCTGAGCCCTTGCTGAGCGACAGAAGTTTGGATGTAGGAACAAGACGGAACAAGGATTCATGCAAGAACTTAGGACATATATGACTCATATGACGTGATGATATGATCTTATATGATCTTGATTTCAGAGAATGCCATCAGGTTAATTAGCATAGACCGAGGCATCAGGTCCATGAGGAAAACTCTTTTGGAGGCTTTGCTTTCCAGAATTCACATCCTCCAAATTTGGAGGAAATTCAGATCATGGTTCTCGCATGTTCTGGTTGCTGCATGAAAAAGGCTGCTGGAGTATGAAGCTGAGTTGTATTTGACGTCGAGGAGGCTTCCACTTATTTGTGTACTGCTGGCAATGTCCATGCAAATGGAGGGGCACAGCGAATCGATTTGATTCAAGCTCCATCTCCATTTTGCTTAGCTTCGGCTTGAGCAGTATCTTTGAATGGAAGATCATGCCATCCCAATGTCAATCCGAACTCTGAGATCTCAAAGACTTGCGCACATATATGAGGCCATATTCGAAAACCATATCATGAAACCATTGCTGCAAGCAAGCTGCAACTCGCAAAAGAGCCAGCTTGAGGTGTCAAAAGAAAGACATGTGAAACGTTTGGATCCTTTAGACCGAAGATTGAAGCCTCATGTGCTCACTCTCCTGGCTGCCCACCACAGGCCCAAGCGGTTTCTTTTCGCTCATGCAAAGTAGACGAGTCCAGACGCAGAAAATGACAGTGAAACGGTGCATCGCGTTTGTGGAGGTAATGATCCGTGCTCTCTCCAGACAAAAGTGTCAAGGCATCAACGCCAATGAAGTGACACATTTGGAATTGGTTGCAATGCATGAAAGTTGTGTGCGTGTGTGTTTGAATGAACCTCCGTGAACTCAACTGATGTCAATGACATGCAGGAATTCTTGAGCGTCAGATTTCTTCCCGCTTTCTATCCCAGGCTCCATTCGTTTCCATGTCTAGAGTCCGGATGCTGTACGTATATTTTAATATATTTTAATATGTTTTAATATATTTTAATATCTTCAATGGTGTATATTTTGGCCACGTTGAGGTTTCAACACGGGATCCGCGGGATGCAGTCAGATTCCCAGTCCCTGAAGCATCTGAAGTTCATCTCAGTGGAAGGTGAGAGTGTTGTGAGATGTTAGATTGTTAGATGATGTTAGGTTGTGAAGATCTTCAACACCCGTCAACGACCTGGTTGGACAGTACCATGGCAGGCTTGGGGCCACCGAGGGGCCGTCCAAGTGAAGAGATCTGAACCAACAGGAGTTAGAACATTAGGCATAAACATGCAAAAACCTCATGTCCATCCAACTTAAGGGGATACTACATGGGGAACTCACGTTCTGGCGGACAATAGAGATTGGTTAGAGCCAGTGCTTGTGGGACTTGTGGGATTCTGTTTTGGAATGTTTTGGATGTTGGAGGACCAGCCCGTGGAGAGCACTTCAGGCAAGGCGGCAAGCCCAGCACGTGATATCTTGGTCTCGACTCAAACAACTCCTGTTTTGGGATGTTTTGGATATATATATATATATATCATTATAATATATCATTATATGTATCATTATATGTATCATTATATATTTCTGGATGTTTCAGGATCTGGGGCTCTCATCAGCACCAGTGGTGCCCTCATTGGTCGAAGTCAGCTGAATGTCAGCATGGCAGCGGCAGTATGTGTCAGGAAAAGAATCCACATGTCACAAAATGTCCAGCAGATATTGCTTAGGAATTGGAAACCAGCCAAAGCAAGCAGTGCTTGAACCTAGCTTGTTTCTGTTTCCTTGTGAACAGCTTGGACCAACGTGAGAGTCGGAAACCATAGAAAAAGGTCACATGAGTGGCTTTCCACTTTCATGCCATGGTCTGAATCCCAACGTGAAGATTTGCCGTATAGGTGCTCACCGCTGCTCATGTTATTGCAGACAGTCGATACCTTCAGGCAGGTGCAGCATGGTGCAGCTGTGCAGCTATTTGATTGATTTGGATTATTTTGGGAAGTATTTCCGGTGTCATTTGTATTGTTATCATTTGTTATCGACGTTGACATGCTTCTCATGTCCAAATTGTATGAAATTGTCATCACAAGGTGCAGCGAACCAATGACCGCTACGGTGGTGAGAAGTTCCGTTTGCTGCTGAGCTACTGGTTTTGTTTGAATATGTTTGAATCATAAGGGCATGTCAGCACAATGTGGTGCCATGGAAGACTCTAAGGGGCGCATGTGGTGGCCGTTTGCCACGAGATTGATTTAGCATTGCAGGGTCCCCCGGTGATGAATATTGGATGACTTAGATGACCGAACTGCAGCCTCGATCACTGCCTTCCTTAGATGCCACCGTTTTTTTAAGGCTTCTTTTGGAAGATGAGGATGTGCTAACGGAGCCCACCACTCTTCGCTGATTTTTGTCAGATGGTAACATTTGGATATATTTGGAATCTCGACAGATGCTTTGAAATCTCTGACTCGCCTCAGGAGATGGAACCCTTGCCTGTCGGCTCCGTGAGAGCCTCAGCAGGTGCTGAAGTGGTGAAGTTTCAGGCTCTGGAAAGTCGCAGCACCTAGGCAACTGAACTGCCACGAGTCTTTGACAAGGCCTGTGTCCTCGCTGGGAAGACACGCAAAGCATGTGAAAGCACATGAAAGCATCGGCGATGTTCTTCAGCCATAGCCTCGACAAGGTTCGCGTGGTGGGATACCCTATTGGTCCCTGCCCCAATCCCTGCTTCAAGCCATGTAGCGTTCCTCAATGTTCTTCCTTTTTTCTTTTATCATCAATCTGTCACTGCTTCTTTGCACAAAAAAATGCCCCAAGAAAAGTGCAACGCGTGTTTCTGGCATCTTCCAGGCGGCGAAGCATGTAGCGTGACTGAGGGGGTGGTCAGCCGCGTTGAGGCGCCTTCACTGAAGCAGCCAACAAAGAGTCCAAGAAGATCCAAGAATTCAAGAGAGAGAGAGAGAGAGAGATGAAAAATGTGTCTTTGGCTGTTTGGATTATTTTGGGTTATTGAACCAAAAGGTGCAGGAGTACTCGCACTCTTTGCGCTTTGGGCCTGGCTCTTGGTCGGTTTATGTGAGTGTCCAATCTGCAACGGTGGCATGAGATCACGCGACATGCTTGGCAATTCGGAGGCTGGCGCTCACGGTCGATGCTGCAATCAACAGACCAGAACTCAATAGCCAAAGCCATGTCCGAAGAGTGAAGTCAATCAATGGGAATTTCAGGATCCTAAAAAGAAGGTACTGTACCATATAAGGCCATATTTTGTGGGGATATTCCCTTGCATAGGCCTTGTATAATACGGGCCTTATAATGCCTTATAATGCCTTATAATGCCTTATATATGGTAGGTACCTGCAATTTAGGTTCCTGAAATGGCCATTGAGTCAAGGGCGTGTTATTCAACACATTCATGATACAAGCGTCTTGTGCACCAAAGAGATTCAAAGAGCACATCATACTTGAAGAGGTGGAAACAGCGGAGGGCCACTGGTTGATGCCTTCACAGGGCACGTTCAATCCTTACTTTTTTGTAGCTTCATTCTGAACATTTGGTCCAATACACCCCCCCCCAGAGCCCTCAGCAGGCCCCAATATCCAGTTAAATTTACTGCTCGAATCCTTTTGGAACGATCAGCCAGTGCCATTGTCTAAGGTTGTTGGGGTGGCCTTCCAGAAAATGGTGGCCAGGGGAGTGGAGTTGCAGGCAAGGACGGCAAGCATTTTTCAGCATGTTTTAACCTTTCAGCGTTCCGCCAGGCTGTGAGCATACTTTATGCCATATACATTAGCAGAAAATGGCATTTATATTGCTCAAGTCCCTCGTGCACACACACAGCTCAATCTCTTTCATATGCGCACAATGAATCACGTACTGACATGTTTGTACAATCTAAGATGCACATGAATGTATGGTGTATTCCAACATGTTGGACATGCATGGGCCATCATGGGCCCTTGTGATAGTTTCATATGGTTTCACTGTTTCAGGGTCATGCAGTTCCAGCCCCCGTCATCCAGCGCTTTCTTGATGATGTTGCCAGCCTTGGCCTCAGAATGGGGAGGCTGTGAGCGGGTCCCGCTTCCTCGGTTTGCTCGGCTTAGGTGCGCAGCCAGACGCCTTTGCAGAAGGCAAAACATGCTTTGAGACATATGAGACATGTTCAGCAGTCATTTGACTAAGCACTTTGACACTTGCACTGTTGGTGAACGTTGCCTCAGTTGGAAGAGCGATCTTTGGTGCTTGAGCAGGTAGCAACTCAAGCTCGAGCAGGACTCCTTTGAGGCTGCGAATGCCATCGCTAGGCCATCGATTTGACCTCTTGCAACATTTGATATCATTTGATGCATTTTCTTACGGATTTGGATACATTTTGGAGCATCACTTGCTGTGACACAAGAACATGTCTGAGAGCGCAGGGTGTGATTACCAGTCTCTGGAGCCGACCGCACTGCGGGAAAAGCTGCGGCATTGGCCCCAGATGTTCAAAAGAAGCTCATGAATTTATAGCAATTTGCAAATTTTACAATATGTAATACCACAAGAGAGAGATATTCAGCTTGCTCAAGTAGTGCTGGGTTTGTCTCATTGATGCACTGTTCCAGACTAAGGCTCGGGAGTCGCAAGGGCATTTTAGTGAGCCGACTGCACCATGCATTGGCCCCAGGATGGGTTGATTGCGTCCTCGCTTCGCGCACTGCGTAGTGAGGCTGGAGAACCACCGGCCAACTCCCCAGAAACAAGATGAAACAAGCGGATGACAATCATTCACAACCGCATTGATCCGCATTGGCCGTAGTGGGCATCATCTCCACTTGCCGAGGCCCTTCAGCCAGGAGATGTTCTGATGACATTCAATGGTTAGGATCTTAGCCTGAGCTGCACAACGCTGCGCTAGAGCTATTGATGCTATTGTCCCTGAAGCTGCTACAGAGCTGCGATCCGATAGAGGTCATCAGCTTGACGAGTTGGGCTTTTCGGATCTTTTTGGACTGCCTCCGAGTCAAACGGATTCAAATGGAGCCTACAGATGTTTACGGTGAAGTTGAATGAAGTTGAAAGGTTTCAGATGTTTCAGATTGAGGTTAATTCCTTTTTCAAAAAGGCACCATACCCCCCACCCTGAAGCATGACTTCCTTCAGGACGCCGACTGCATTTCGGTGCAGCACGAGACCTTTGCCGACCCCTGATTTTTTTGTTGGCAAGTGGGTACATGCTGCGCGCGAAGTCATGTGTGCATTTGGTTGCCATGCTCAGGTCGGGTCGGCTCCAATGTGGAACTGGAAGTTTGGCGTGATGGCAATGTGCAGAAAGTTCAACAGGCCACAAGCATCTTTTGATTATGAGGTACAGTCAAAACTCTGGTAGACTTAGACTGCTTTAGAAGGGAGTGCGCACTTGGTGTCTGGAAAGTGCACAAAGCACTGCATAGCGATAGGGTTCCCCTAAAAACCCATTTGGTCAAAAAGTAGCCCCAGACCACAGATATGCCGACCCTTGCCTCCTTTCCTTTCCTTTTCCATCCTTTTCCTTTCCTTTTCCATCCTTTTCCTTAGCTCTTCCTTTTCTGCGTTTCCTTTCCTTACACTGAGGTCTTCCTCTGTCTCTATCTTCAAAAGTACCACCAAAAAAAACAATGGTCGAAAAATGCGATGCCATGTTTTAAGCAATAAGACAGAGTTTTGACGGCGGCTCATATAATTGCACAGATTCCAAGTGCTTCGTGTTTTTTTGCTTATTGGATTCATGGCGTGTGCTCATGGCAGGTGCTGCAACCAGCGCAGCATTTGGTGCCGAGGTGTTGTTTTTTCATTTTTTTTTCCAGGTGGTAGTCTCATGTAATACCCCTTGCAAGATATGCAGATGCTGGCAGGGGACAGTATGACACGCGCCCACGATTCTTCATTGTTGGTGGGCTTGTCTTCCAACCCTTGAGCCTCTTGGCTTGACAGCTGACCCTTTGCCGGTAGCACCGATGAAATAGCTGGTTGGTTTGGTGACAATTAGGGCTTCTGCTGGCTTTGAGGATGCCCTGTTTGGCTGCAGTTCTTGCCGTGCATCGCGACATTGTCGCAGCTGTTGGGGATCAGGGCTCACTGCGCCCATTGACCATGAGGCATAGGTGTGGGCGTCGGCGAAATGCCACCCGCTGTGTATTGTCTTTATTCCTCATGGCATCTGGCTGTGCCTTCGTAGCCCCCAGGCCGAGCACAGATTCCGGACATGGTGCCATGCAGTGTCCAAAGGAGTCGTGTCGCAGCCCCATTCCAACAGCCATTGCTGCTGCCCCCCTTTGGCTGAGTGTTCCAGCACAGGCCGGAGATGACTTGGCAGGAGCTGCCGTGGCATATGGCCACTACTTGGCGCTTGTGTTGGCAACGGCCTGTTTGGTAGCAGAGCGGCTCATGTTGAAACCAGGTATGACGGAGGAGGAAGAGCAACGCATGCAATATGCGGACATTTTGTATGATGTGGCAGGTGTTATCTTCTTTATCACCGGCTATTTGCGAACCATTGAGTATGGAAAGGGCTGGGACTTCTACCAGCATGAGCCCATCTTCTGGATCAAAGTTACTCTGGCCGGGGTCATGGCAGCGAGTTCTTTCTTTGTCACCACTACTTTGCTGAAACGAAGCATGGCTCGAGGTGGCGAAACTGTACCACCTCTCAGTGAAAAGCTAGCAGCTCGGATGACTAGTGTCATCAATGCCCAGCTGTTGGCTGTTGGATCTATCCCGTTGGCAGCCACACTCATGGCGCGTGGGGTTGGATATCTGGATTGGCTGCCTTGGCAGGCAGGTGCCGCCCCAGCCGTTTTGGCTTTCGGTGGGTTGGGCTTCAAATATGTGAAGGAAGCTGTGGACTGGAAGGAGGACACGCAGGGATGATAGCCTGCGACAGGTTTGGGCGAAGGAGAGGGTGCTGAGAGGATGATAAGGTCTAAAAGGATGCTGCGCTCGCTCTGCAGTGCAACGCTTTTTTTGTGGAGAATTCTTGGCTCGCTCTTAGCTCTTGAGAACAAGTCCGCAAGATTTTGTCCACTGATGACTGCCACTGCATCCCTGGCTGTTGCACAAGGCAACGAATATCTTCAAGGATGGGCAGCCAACGAGCGGCCGGCTCATTTGCAGGAGCCTTGTTGGATTTCTGATGGTGTGCTTTGTCATGGTATGTCATGCTTTGTCATACTCTCTGAAACGTTGCTCATTCTTCAAGTGTAAGAAGCTGAGTGACAGCGCACAGGAGCTCTTCATTTGTGGCCATACCACTCCAGACAGAAATGAAGCCGTCATCCTGGCTCAGGCCCTGCATCCGGGAGCTCCAGGATGCTCTATAGTTGCAGTGTATACACTAGATTCACTGCAGTACAATAGATAGTAGAATAGAAATGAATAGAATGTAATATACGTAGCAATACATATATGAGATTATACGGGACTTGATACAGAGGTCCTCGCAACTGTCGGTTCAACAAAAAGCTTGCAAAAATTGTGTTTGAGTATGTTTGGGTTTGCTCAAACATTTGTTCAGCTTCAGATCTGGCGACAAAACAAACATTGGCCATTTGATTTGTATGCGTTTCAGACTGTTTTTTTCGCGAAAGTTCCGCGAAGGTAGTGGCGAAAGTAAAGTTGTCTCGGGAACCTCCTAGCCCACGAAGCACTACATATGAGTCAACAAGCAAGTGGTTAATTGTGTCATTCCATGCCGTTGGCACAATTGATGACATTTCAATTGGTGCCATTTCGGCGCAGTTTTGTTTGTTCCCAGGAGAGAGGGGAAAAAGAAAAGGAATTGGGTGGTCGTATCTCCGCGCAAGATAAGACCACTGTATGTGAAAGTTCGGCTAAAATCTACAGTAATTTGTTTCTTGCTAAGCATGGCCGGTTGATCAAAAATTCAAAACTCTTTAAACATTTACTGTGCTGGGACCACATGTCCTTTCCGAATCTTTGCAGCTTGTTTTTGGTGGATCCCATCTAAAGCGTGCTCGCAGGTGTTGGGTGACGTGATCAACGCAGGATGTGCACTTCGAACCTGCTTTGTTGTTTGTATTCAGTGGCTATTTGTTGGTTGAAGTAGCAAATGGCCAGCCCCTGTTCTCTTGGCAAACAAAAGGAAGATGCTACAACCTTCATATTAATAAGCTTCCCGCCATTTCTGTCTCTGCCGCTCCAGGATATGACAGTGGGTGGGTTGGAGCACCCGTTGTGTCCCACGTAAATGGCACGCCAGTACTGAGCTTAGGATTTTGACACAGGACATGGCAGCAAGGACGTCAAAGCAAGTGGTGTTTTGAAGGTGCGGAACTTGGCCCATTTCGTGGAGTTGGTTTGGGTCTCAGTGATTTCATGAATGGCCATTTCAGGCACCTAAATTGGAGGTACGTACTATATAATATGCGGATACATGATGCCTATGTAAGGGCTATGTAAGCGGATTTGCCCCCAAAATATGGCTTTATACAGTACAGTGCCTCCATGTTTAGGGTCCTGAAATTCCCATTGATTTCACATAATCTCAGACATTTGGGCCCCACATGTCCGGTGTCATCATCCAGTTGCTCATGTTCGTGGCACTCGTGGTTTTCAAAGAAGTTACAAGACGTTCTGTGTCACTTGGAGTGTGTTGACTTGGTGAGGAACTGTTATGGCATACCGGTTTGGTCGTTGGCAGTGGCAGTCACCCAGGTTGATGCTGGCCGCAGCGGTGAAGGTCACGCTGAACTAGAAATTGATTTGTCTCAACTTGACATAATGTGGCATATATGTATATGTGATTGTATGTGTATTCATGCATATGTAAATTAATATATATATATATACACATATATACACATTATATATAATATACACGATATTATATATATATATACATCACGCGGGGTAAGTGTGCAAGTTTTCTTTGGCCTGGTGGGTACCTATGCACAACTGCTGGGCATTGGCTCGACATACGATGGGAGAACTGAAGTGCGTCAACAAACATGCATCAGTCGCCTTCCAGCCGCTGCAAAATTCGCAAGATGTTGGATCAACCTGGAAGTTGAAACTAATCGAAAATGACTGAGCTTGCAAAATGTAGAGATGCGCCACAAAGCTTCTCCGCTAGAAAATTCCTGTCTTCCTGGTGTGTGCCTTCCTTGACCAGCACCCATCGCTTCGGCTGCAATGACCGAATTCAAACGCACAACTCAAGCCGTTGATGAGCTCTTCAGCTGCACACATGGAGCATGCTGTGCTATCCGGGCCTTTGTGTCTAACCCAGGACGTGACACAAGCTATCACAAGCCCAATCTAAGGATTGAAGCTCTGGTGCAATCATTGTTGGATGGCACAAATGGAGATTTGCAGCATTTGGGTGAGCTTATCGGCAAGACAGGTGGCATCCGGTAGCGTAAAGCTTGGTGCATGGCAAAACGGACCTTGAACAGGAAGCCCCCATTCCAATCCAAATTATGTTTGACTGTTTGACCAGTCACAGTGCAGTAATTTTCCATGGAGAAATAGTGAGAAATTAGTATATAGTGTTCTTTGCTGCACAGACGGGGGATGACGGGGGGTGTTCTCAGCACTGCGAAGAGTTGCAGGTGCAACTGTCGAGAAGCTGAGTCGAAAGGCTGCAGAGACCGAGCCTTCTATTAAATTACATTCTACTTCCTACCTTTGATGACCCAATATGATCGAATCAAATCTGCTCATGTCATTTCATGTCCATTTCGGTTGGCCACGTGGCCATACCTGGCCAAATCTCTTGCTTGAAACTCTGCCAAGGACCCCACCCGTCAGACCTATGGACCACAAATGCGGGAGAAGGTGAATTTGTTGGCGGAAAGATGGGCGAGCGTCCGGGCCCAAGAAATCGTGAAGGTTTGCCAATGGATGAACCAAGGGATGAGCCAATGGACATGAGATATATAGAGAGAGAATGGGAAACAAGAACTCTGGCATACTCATGGGGTTTGCGATAGACACCAAGAAAAAGTCCTTTTTGATCTACAATGATTGGAGACGTTTTACACCTGGCCCCACCTTCAGAACATTTCGGAACCACAGGCGTGGTGCTGCATCCAATATGTCTCAGGTAGGCGGCCTTGCCCGCGATGTGCTGACGCAACGAGGTGGGCATGTTGTGGCGCCAGTAGAAGGAGACACTGGCCCGCCACCACCGCCTCGACTAGTGCAGAGTGCCGTCCTGTGGCAACCACCGCAGGCCAGGTTGCAAAGTCATGCAAAGTCTAGCCAGGGGTAGTTGTTTCATAGTCTTCATGGTAGTCGGGTGTTTCGATGTGTTTTGGTTTATTTACTGCTGTGTTGAGAAGGGATCTAGCATGATGAGGCACGCACCGGAGCCCAGTCAAGGCCCAATGTCTAAGCACTGCTAAGAGAGTGTAGGCCCCTGCGACAGCGGCTAGCACAGCTGCGCCCATGGGAGCTGTGACTGCGCCAAGTCAACCCAGGCCAGACGCCAAAGCAAAACTGACAAGGCATATTTCTCTGTACTTGTTCCTTATGCGCTACCAACAGTTGTCTATGCAGAACTCTTGCAGTTGGTGCGAAGAGAGTGAATAGAATTCCAACCTGCATCTTCTTGCTATGGGCTAAAGCCTGCAATACCTCGAAGTGACAAAATTGGTTTGTTGAATTTCGGACTGAGTTTTCAGATGTTTTCAGCAAACCAACTATATTTCTCTCGTTTGGCTGAGTTTTGCTACCTCGTGACCTCGTGACTGAAACTCATGTCTGTCAGTGCTGCAGAGCGGCGTGAGCGTGCAGCGGCAGCTGCGGAGCGACGCTCGCAGCCATCAACGGCATCGCAGCCCGTGCAGCCATCACAAAGCTCAGGCAAGTGGGTGTTCTGACTTCTTGAACTTCTTGAATGTCTTAAGAATATGTGCTGATGTTTGTTGATTGTTATCCATGCCATTCAACTTTCAACCTCTACCAGCATGTGACTTGATATCACATGATATCATCCCAAATGCAGCGGCGGTGTTTTCATCAAAAGGCTCAGCAAGACAGCCTGTGCCGGTGGTTGCGAGGAGACCTTTCACGGCTAATCATGGGCACGGATGTTTTTCTTGATTGGGCAAGGGAAAGAATACGTGAGAAAATCTGCATTTTTTGGGTGAAGATTCAGTTGTGCTGGTTTGGTTTAGCAGGATGGACTCTTTGATGCACTTGGTGCATTGTGTGTTCGTCGGTCACGGCTACCAGAATGAGCACAATGAGGACAGCAAAGGCGAAAACATCAGACCACCAGCAGTGGCGTCCACAACCTTGCATCATCGCCGCTGGGAATATGATGCAGAAAACAACAAAGATATCTCCCCCTCACCCAGCTTAGCCGGAGCATTTGTGTTTATGGGACCGGTTCAGAGGTGTGATTGCTTTGGATTGGAGTGCTGTGTTGATATCGATTGAATTCAATTGATACTGTATGTTTTCTCTTTGTAGGACCGAAGCGGCCTTCACAAGTTGCGCTACATTCATGAAAGAAAGCAGGCAATCCTGGCAGTTTATGCCCGAGGCTCAGTTGTTCTCTGTGAAGAGCAAAAGGGCAACAGAAACAACCTAGGCTACGGACTAGAAGACGTTTCAGTAGTGCGGGGTTTAAACTTTGGGCGGGTCTGCCCTTGTACATTTAATCATCATTTAATTTGACCATGTGTACGTCCTTTAATCAAGTTGCTGCTTTGAGGTGCCTCTACAGCAGCATTTGGTTACCTACGTTACCATTGATGGCTCCAGCGACAGCCCAATCAAGGCCAGAGCTGAAAGAAGCCAGGATCACATTTGTTTCATCACAATGTGGTAGAAAGTATAGGCTGTATGTAACATTTTGTGACAGTTGACCTCATGTGTTGAGGCTGCAACGGTGGTTAATTCAGCCAGCTGTGATGCTGAGTTTCCTATCTCTCTGCGTACTTTTGCAAGGGCAGCAGCAACAGTAGTTGACTTGCCAGGCAACAGTCCAGGTAGGAATGCCAGTCGCTGCTGTCCAAGCGAAGATTGATTACTTGCTGCGCCTTTGTTGCAACACTCTGACTGTCTACATCTATAAGAACTGTGAGGCAATGAAAGGTTAGCCCAGAATCTCGAACTTGAAGTAGTGCCTAGAATTGCTGCGTGCACACATATGTCATACATGTGCCTCTGTATGCACAGACTCGGAAGCCATGGATTTCCAATCGTATTCTTTTCGCATGAGAGTGCGCACATGCAATCCATTGCGCTCCTCATGTTTGCAAGTGCAGGATCCGTTGCTCAGGTTGTATCCATTGCTTTATCGCCAATGCTTGCCCACATTGGAATCGACTCCTCCTGAGGCTGCTTGCTTGAAATTTGATCCACCTTCACTCTGGGGCCGAGTCATTGCACACGCTTGGTACCAATGGCCGGGCTTTTTTTTGACACTATCACTATACGACACTTTAAATCAATATCACGTCATGCCATACCCTCATGTCACTGCAGCCGTTTTAAAGTTTGGCAAAGTTCCATGTGACTATATTTAGGTGTAGCGTGCTGCCAACCAAGACTTGGCGGAGCACTGTAGATTTCGATGATTTCGTTTTGGGTTCCTTTGGGCTGTTTTTTTCTGGCATTATTATTTTTTGCTTGTGTAGAATAGTGTATAGATTTGATTGTAAAAAATCAGCTGCTGGGACATTTCATTGCTTTCAAAGTCTCGAGATGCTGCATCCGCAAAGGCACTCTTCGGTTCGCTTTGTGGATTGTCGATCCCGGTGCCTCAATCCAATGGATGGGTCGATCCATGCATCAAGGGTTTTTGGAGGCTGGTGTGCGTCCAACAAGGCTATAGTTTTTTGCAACGTGACGGGCAGTTTACAAAGACCCTGAAGCTGCCTGAAGCTATCTAAACCTGTTTTCCTGTTCAGAGGCCTGCAAGACAAAGTGCAAAGGCGTCAGACTTCAGATCTCAAGAATCTTTGGGGGCTAAGGCCTTGGCTTCCCTTGGCTGCACCTGTCGGAGCATGTCCGCGTCAGTGCTCAACGATGATGCCGCCTTAATTCTTCTCCCATTTTTGATGAGTTTCTGTCAAGCTGCATTCAGTTCGTCGTTCTTTACAGAAGTTGTGAAGTTGTTTAGCATTTACGTGAGATATTTTTCGGGGCGTCTCCGCCAAGCCCAAAGGACTTGGTGTGGCTTCGAGTCGCCTTGTCTCTAGCGCCATCTCGTGAACTACAAGCTGAACTTGCAGCAGTGAAGCGGCGTGAAGAGAATGGTGAGGCAACACGGCATCCCATAAACACGAAGACTAAGCCGAGCATCTATCATACACTCCAAGCTGTGCAGAAAAGTCAGACAGCAAACCATTCATTGAACATTGTCCGATTTTGCTTGAATCACTTTTGAAAGCTGACTTTTTTGCGCAGGCTTTGCCACAAGGCATCTACAAAGGCATGGTGAGAACAGAGGCGCCCTACTCATGTTCAGCATTGAATTCATTTGATACATTCTTTCTTTCAATGCACATACACATGACTTGTGCGCAATTAATTTCCGTCATTTTCGAAATAATATACTTTACTACAGCATAGCTATTTGTATGATACTTATAATATATATATTATAATATTATATACATGGTTCCGTTTGTTTGTATGTGCGTGCCTGTGGGCCCACAGTGTGTTTTCATCACGAAAGCCAGCCGCTAGGCTAGGCGAAGTTCCTTTTGCGAACAAAGTGAGTTATAGGGGGTCCGGGGGTAGAGCGCGCCATCGAGCAAAACCCTAGAAAAATTCAGCAAAACCATGGAAAAATCGAGTAAAACCACGGAAAAATTGAATAAAATTACTTTACTTCGAGTGATCCCCACCATGACACTTATAGGTTTTATTACTGGCAAATCTTCTGGCATTCTATCTGACATATCTTCTGGCATTCGATCTGGCATTCTATCTGGCATATCTTCTGGCACTCTACCTGGCATATCTTCTGGCATATCTTCTGTCATTCTATCTGGCAAATCTTCTGGCATTCTATCTGGCAAACATTCTGGCACTTTATCTGGCATACCTTCTGGCATTTTATCTGGCATACCTGCTGGCATTCTATCTGGCATATCTTCTGGCATTTTATCTGGCATACCTGCTGGCATTCTATCTGGCATATATATCTTCTGGCATTTTATCTGGCATATCTTCTGGCATTCTATCTGACATGCTATCTGGCGTTCTAGCTGGCATATCTTCTGGCATTCTATCTGGCCGTTGAGGTCCTGCGGTGCTCACTGAGCTCGGAAGGTCCCAGGTTGAGGTCCAGCGGTGCTGGTTGAGGTCCAGCGGTGCTCACTGAGCTCGGAAGGTCCCAGGTTGAGGTCCAGCGGTGCCCAGTGCGCTCAGACCCTTGCAGTTGAGGTCCAGCAGTGCCCACTGCGTGCGGAAGTTGGCCAAGAGCTTGGCGAAGAGTTGGCAAGGCGGAAGTGGACATGGAAGTGGCAGAAGTGGACCTGGAAGTGGATGCAGAGGTGGTGGAGGAGAAGGAGGAGAAGGAGAAGGAGAACGAGAAGAAGGAGAACAACTCTGATAAAATCTAACCCTCACCTGGCAGGTGGGGAAATATGGAAGAATCGAGTAAAACCATGGAAAAATTTAGTAAAACCATGATCCCCCTTGCCATTTCCTCCACAGAATGGGAGGGGTTGGGGTGCCTATAGGGCACCATTCTGTGGAAAGTAGGGGCTGGAAATGGGGTCGAGCATGCCATTTTGTAGTAATTTGTGGGCTTTACCTGGTTTTATCATTTTTGTTTTGAAGGCATGATCGTTTATGGGCACCAAGACAAACCATTTTGTAACAAACAAAAAGCCATTTTGTAGATGTTTTTAAGGGTATGATTTGGTGGTTTAAAAAAATGTGAATTAGTCATTGACAAAGACAAATCAGCTAGCCATTCTGTAGAGAACCCATCGTTTCAATAAATGTACCATTTTGTAAGTGCATATTTGTGTTTGCAATGACACCAACAGCACAGCATGAAGAAGAGAGAAAGACCAAGGACGATGTATGCGTTTGAACTCTTCGCATGCACCCGGGGAAAAATGCTTGACCATGCTTCTGGGATATTCTGGGTATGTTTTTTAGAAAATGGTTAGGCTTGCTGCATAGAGTCGACCATTTTGTAGACTGGTGTAGGTCTGAAGATAGACCCTGTTTTTATGTTTGCATTGAAAAGAGCAGTGGCAAAGAATTGTGATTCAATTTGTTCCTTCTGGAAATTCTCGGATTCTTCAGCCTTATCCAAACTTCGAGACAGATTGTTCTCTGGAAGATCTGTGTCAAAATAGCATTCTTCTCCTGATCTTCGTTTTTGCTTTGTGACCGTTTTTGTGACTGGAACATACTGGAACCGGAAAAAGTTTCCATTTGCAGAAGGATGGCCAGCGCATTGTTGGCAAAAAAATAGAAACATATAGAAAAATATTAATGCTGCAAAAGCTGCATGAAAAAAATTGGATCCACTTCCGAAAAGGATGAGTGAAGATGGACTAGAGGGTAAAAACCCTACAAAATGGCACTGGGAAAAAGGCAGTTGACGCTGAGGTCTTGCCAAGATAGAGGCTCTACAAAATATGCGGGATGCAGTAGCTAAATTAAACCAGGTGGACACTGAGTTAGGTTTAATTTTTTTGGTTTAATTTAAAAAATCTTACGAAAACAGGGGGTCCACCCACCTCCTTAAGATCCTGAAGAAAGTTGAGTTGGTTTAATTTTGAGATGTGACCCACCCCATGGTTTAATTTCAGCTGTTTTAGCTCATTGTGCTGCCTCGTGTTCCGCCTCGGGATACTGCAGCCATGGTTCCTGACACGTGTCCTAGCACAGCTCCGTGAAGACGATCCGGCGTGGACAGCAAGGTTCTTGCACAGTTGGGAACAGCATTGCTGCAGCCCAAATGCTCCATCTCAAGCAGAGCAAGTCCATGGGAAAGGCGCTGCGGGACCATGGTAAACTGTTTCTATCTGTTTCGGGCCCCTTGCGTAATCCCAGATCAGGTCAGAATAATTAATCAAGGGGTGGGTGAGTCCATACGTACTGAACATTCATTCATCAGGACACCTTTGGCACCATAATATTCATGGGATTTATGGTCACCAGAATAATTAAACAAGGGGTGGGTGAGTCCACATGTACTGGGCATTCAGGATCAGTGCTTCCATTGGGGCACCCCCAACACCATAATATCATACAATATCCATGGCATTGATGGTCACCAGAATAATTAAACAAGGGGTGGATAAGTCCACATGTTCTTGGCATTCATAAAGATTCATGTATTGGGATACCTTTGGTGTTATCATGATTCATTGTTTTTCTTGAATTTTCATCTTTGGTCATCACAAAGGAAAGAACCTGATGGAATCTCATTGGAGTGCACTTTGGATTATTTGAGAGAGATCTCACCAATAGGTCTCGATCAAAGTAGCAAGTCCAATGAGATTCCATCAGGTTCCTTCCTTTGTGATGACCAAAGATGAAAATTCAAGAAAAAACAATGAATCATGATAACACCAAAGGTATCCCAATACATGAATCTTTATGAATGCCAAGAACATGTGGACTTATCCACCCCTTGTTTAATTATTCTGGTGACCATCAATGCCATGGATATTGTATGATATTATGGTGTTGGGGGTGCCCCAATGGAAGAACTGATCCTGAATGCCCAGTACATGTGGACTCACCCACCCCTTGTTTAATTATTCTGGTGACCATAAATCCCATGAATATTATGGTGCCAAAGGTGTCCTGATGAATGAATGTTCAGTACGTATGGACTCACCCACCCCTTGATTAATTATTCTGACCTGATCTGGGATCACGCAAGGGGCCCGAAACAGATAGAAACAGTTTACCATGGTCCCGCAGCGCCTTTCCCATGGACTTGCTCTGCTTGAGATGGAGCATTTGGGCTGCAGCAATGCTGTTCCCAACTGTGCAAGAACCTTGCTGTCCACGCCGGATCGTCTTCATGGAGCTTAGGACACGTGTCAGGAACCATGGCTGCAGTATCCCGAGGCGGAACACGAGGCAGCACAATGAGCTAAAACAACTGAAATTAAACCATGGGGTTTAATTTTGAGAAAGTTGAGTTGGTGCACGCATCTGGGGGGAAAAATGGTGAGCGCAACTGGTTTTGCACCAAGTCTCACTGACATGTGTAGAACCAGGTGGTTTAATATTTGGTCTTAGCAAAACAAAATCAACCCAATGATCCTGTAAAATTAAACCAGGTACTGCCGAGTAGCTTGTTTAATTTTTAGCTGGGGGATGCTGGGTGGGACCTTAACTGGAAGTTTTCTGGATTAATTTCTTATGTTAAAAATAAACGGAGGTTATGTTTGACTGAAAGATTTTGGAAAAAACCATACTGCAGGGGACCCCGTTTAATTAAAAAAAATAAACCAGGGTCCCCACCCCCCTCCCACCGATTACCGCTACCCGCATTACAAAATGGCTCTGAGATTTTTATATGTTTTATAAGATCATGAATGCACTGGTTTGATCATTATTTGGCAAAATTGTCAATATATTTGTGGATCAAAGCAGGTGACAGGCACTACCATTTTTGCCAGTAGTTGGGCTCCGATGTGGGACAATTTATGGTCGCAAGGATTAGAAGCAATTTCTGTCAGTTACGATGCTTTGGGATAGACTGGAATAGAAGGGAGTCAGAGGGAAAGGCATTGCTTGGAAAGGTTGCGGAAGGATGTGGATGAGATTGTTCTTGTCGACTTGTATTTGTTGGGCTCCAATGTGGGGCCATTATGGTCGCAAAGATCAGAAGGAACTTCTGTCAGTATAGGATGCTTTGCAAGAGACTGGATAGAAGGGAGTCAGAGGAAAAGGCATTGCTTGAGGAACTTCTGAGGAACTTCTGTCAGTATAGGATGTCGACGAGAATGTAGCCATCTACGTTTATTTATTGGGCTCCGATGTGGGACCATTATGGTCGCAAGGGTTAGGAATTTCTGTCAGTATACGTGGGCTCCGATGTGGGACCATTAAATGGTCTTAAGGGTTGGAACTTCTGTCAGTATAGGTGGGCTCCGATGTGATTGTGGTCGCAAGGATTAAAAGGAACTTGTGTCAGTATAGGATGTCGACGAGAATGTACTGGTCGACTGGGGTTCCGATGTCGGACCATCATGGTCGTAAGATGTCGTAAGGATTAGAAGCAACTTCTGTCACCATACGATGCTTTGGGAAAGACTGGAATAGAAGGGAGTCAGGGGAAAAGGCATTGCTTGGAATGGTCGCTGGAGGATGTGGACGAGACTGTAGTGGCCGACTTGTATTTGTTGGGTTCTGCAAGCTTTGGAAAGGGGTGTTAACATAGCAGAAGATGCGACTGCTGCGTCGGCTCCGTCAATGCTAGTTTGCATTTTTTTAATGAAATTAGGAAGCTTTGGAAAGGGGGGACGAAAATATGAGGTGAGGAGGGCAGAGGTAAGGGTCCGTGAATGGAGGCGCACTCGCTATGGAGAAGAAACTTCTGTCGGTATAAGATGTGAAATTAGGAAACTTTGGAAAGGGGT